ATAAATTATTAATTAAATTATTAATTTAAAATTAAAAATTAAATATTTTAAATAGATATTAATAATATTTATAGTAAATATTAATATAATTAGTATAAAAATTAAATTATATATTAATATTTAATAAATTGTTATACTTGCTGAGCCTAAATAAAATATATAAAAATATAATAATTTAACTTTTGCTAAATTTAATAATATATTAATACATGGCCAAAAATAAAATAGCTTGTAGTAAACTTGTTTTGTCAGAAATTTTATACTACTTTTAATTTTTATAATTTAATATTTAAAAAATAATTAAAAATAATTATTCTAGGGGCTAATATAGCTTTTTATAGGAATTAATATTTTAAAAAATTATAATAATTAATAATCTTTAGTAATTTTTTACTGGTTCTAACTGCTAAGTTTTTATTTTATTAAAATATAATAATTAATTAAAAAATCTTATATTACCTTAAATAATTATAAATAAATATTTAAAAATTACTAAAAAATAAAAATTATTAATTATTATAGTTTTTAAAATATTATTTTTTATAAAATAATTATTTTTTACTATAGTCTTAAATATTAACTTAAAATTTCTTATAAAACAGGCTTATTATAAGCTATTTTAATTTTATATTAATTAAATTAATATTTATTAATATTTTAATTTATTATAATTCCTTACATGCAGGGAATTTAAGATCTAGTTTTGTATTTAATAATTAATATTAATAGTTAATATTTTAGTTTATTATATAACTAGCTGCAAGTAAATGCCCCTAGATATTAATTATATTTTTTAGGCCTTATTTTTTATTAAAGCAGCTATATTAGCCTTTTAAAAGCCTTAATAAAAAGTATTAAGTAATACTAGGCTTTATATTTTTACCCCTATACTTTATATAAATTACCTAGCTTATTTTACTAGGAAACCCTAATAATTTACAAGCACTAGTTATTTTTAATTTATTTAAAAGTAAAAGTAAATACTTAATAAGGTCTAAATATTAAGTAAAACTAAGTACTATTTTTTAACCTAAAAACTATTAAACCTTTTTAAAAATTTAAATAAATGCTTAACTATTCCCTGGCTAGTAATCTTATTATTAAAAGGTAAAAAAAGGTTAAAAGCCGCGAGCAAAAACTAGGTACTATTAATAAAAATTAAGAACTATAAGTAAAAATTAGGAGCCGCAAAAAGTGCTTAAAATTATAAAAAATATTAAAACTATAAAAAAAAATTAAAAGCTATAAGTAAAGATTAGGACCTGCAGGAAGAGCTTTAAAATTATAAAAAGTAATTAAAAGCTATAAAAAAAAATTAAAAATTATACTAAGTAATTAAAAGCTATAAGAAAAGATTAAAAGTTATAAAAAAAAATTAAAAACTAGTTATAATAACTTATTATAAAAAGTACTAAGTATTAGTTAATTAAAAGGCTGCAAAACTTAATACCTAAAAATAATATAAAAATTATAAACTATAACTAGCTTAATATTCCCTTGGTTTTAGTAAAGGTTTACTATTATATATTAAAATACAAAATACATGCTACTAAAGTAAAATAAATAAAAATTAAAAAGTATACTTTAATAGTAGCGCGGAAAAGTATAAAAGAATACCTATTAAAAAAAATAGCATATATAAGTTAAAAGTATTTTATTTACTTTTTTAATAATAACTATTTTAAACATGTTTTTACTAACTTTAAATAAATATTACTTTATAACCACAGGCTTAACCATAAAACCTTTTAGCTTGCTATAATTAATATATTATTAATAAATTTCCTAGCTTAAAAAAAAGATATTAAAGCTATACCTTTACCCTTTATATTATTAAAATCTTATTTATAAAAATGCTATTTATATATAATAAACTATATTACCTTACTAGCTATATTTCGCGGGGTTATTATTTAACTTAAGTAATTATAATTTTAATACCTGCTTATTATTTTCTTGTTTTGCCTGGAGATTTTAATACCCTTAATATATAGCCTTTTAAAAATTTAATTAATATATATTAAAAATATGCGCTAATACCCAGGCTATTAAAAAATTAATAAAAAATAATAATAAAATAAAGGGTTATAAATTTAAAGCTTATAATATCTAGATTTAGGCTAATTATTACAGGGTAAAAGATAATACAAGAGTTAAAAATTAAGGGCATAGTAATTTTTTAGGAAAAGGCGCGTATACTAGTAAAGAATAAAAATTAGATTATTATAATAAAAACACCAGGTACTAGTAATAAAAATAATTAATTAGTAGTAAAAATATAGTATATTAAAAAAATAAAATTACTATAATTAGCCTATAAAAAGAATATTTAGTGGTTTTTTAGTA